ACAACCCCGCCCAGACCCCGGGACTCACTTGCGAGGGGAAACGCTCCATCGCGGGAGTACAAATCGAGGAAAATAAACTACGCGTAGCACCACACACACGCCCAAAACAGCGCAGCCCAGGAAACGGAACGAGGCAGCGGAGGACAAGCACACGGAAACACACCCGCGTGAGGGCGAGAGCGGGAGGCGAGAGCGGCGGCGAGGGGCGGGCGGCGAGGGGCGGGCGGCGAGGGGTGGGCGGCGAGGGGCGGGCGGCGAGGGGCGGGCGGCGAGGGGTGGGCGGCGGCGTGGGCGGCTGCGACGGTGGCGGTGGCAGAGTGGCGCGCCGCGCGGATACGCCGCCGCCGCCGCCGCCGCCGCCGCCGCCGCCGCCGCCCTTTGCGAGTCTGGGTCGGGGTCGGCGGCCTCGTCCGGCTCGGAGCACGAGGCTGCGGAGTGGGCGGGCAGCCAGAGGAGGAGGGGGGCGAGCAGCGCCGAGAAGGAGGAGGAGGAGCGCCCCGACGCGCCCGTGCCGGGCACAAACATCCACCCAAAGGGGGCAAAGTCGTCGGGGAGCACGGTGAGGAGGACCTGGAGACAGAACACAGCAGAGCCCAGGGCCAGGGATGGGACGGAAAGGGCGCAAGGTCGTCGGGGGGGGGAGGCCTGGAGTCCCGAGAGCGAGTACTAGCGGCGCGCGGCCTCTCTCTCGGCCTCATCTCGGCCACATCTCGGCCGCATCTCGGCCACATCTCGGCCGCATCTCGGCCGCATCTCGGCCGCATCTCGGCCACATCTCGGCCGCATCTCGTCCGCATCTCGGCCACATCTCGGCCGCATCTCGGCCGCATCTCGGCCGCATCTCGGCCACATCTCGGCCGCATCTCGTCCGCATCTCGGCCGCATCTCGGCGGGGAGGAGAAGCAACCTTTAGCGGGCGGGCGGGGTGGGGGGGCGGGGGGGGGGGGGAGGAGGGGGGGGGAGGAGGGGGGGGGACGCACGTCGACGAGCTGGCAGGCGGCGAGGAGCAGCGCGGGCGGCGCCTCGCGCGGCTCGAGCAGCACGCGCTGCAGCTCGGCGATCATGATTGGCCAGAGCGCCGTCAGGTTCTCCGGCGCGACGCGCACGACGAGCACGCGCGCGCACTGCAGCGCGGCGACCTGGACGCCCCACCGCACCGCCGCGCTCCAGCCCTCGAGGGCGGCGCCGTACTTGAAGGCGGCGACGAGCTTGTCGATGACCAGCCCCTGCAGCGCGCCGACGTACTGGTTGTGCTCGCCCACCCAGA